ACAGAACAAGCAGCAATGGTCTGAAGTTGCATAAAGGGAAGTTTAGGTTAGATATTAGGGAAAGCTTTCTCACTAGGAGGGTAGTAAAACACTGAAACAGGTTACCCAGAGACAGTGGTGATGTATAGTGGGTGCACGGGGGTGCATGTACACCCCCTGAGAGTGCTGGTGCACCCCCGACCAGCTGCACTCCCGCTTAGGTGATGGGCAGGGGAGGGGCAGGCGGGAGCACTGGTGCCCCACCCTACAAGCACTGGCCAATCGCTACGATTGCTGCAGCCACTTCTGGGAGCGGCTGTAGCGATCGGCCAGCACTTGCTCCCAGAAGTGGCCGCAGCTACTCTTGGAAGTGGCTGCAATGATTGCAGAGATCAGCCGCAGTGATCAGCCATTGTGGGATCACCTGGAGGGACTTCGCCCCTGGTCTGCAGGATCACCCATGGGGCACCCCCCGCCCACGGTCGGCGGGATCAGTCATAGGTGCTCCCCCCAACTAAGGCGGCACCAGTCGCCCATGCCCAGAGAGGTTGTGGTATCTCCATCCTTGGAGATTTTTAAGACACAGCTAGAGAAAGCTTTGGCTGGGATGATGTAGTTGGGGATGATCCTGCTTTGAGCAGGGGTTTGGACTAGATGACCTCCTGAGGTGCCTTCCAACCCTAACTTTCTATGATTCTATATTCCTCACCTCACTGCTTACCTGGGAGCTTGGGTGCTTTGATAGGGTATCCCAGAGGGACGCCAGGCTGCTGACCTCCAAAGCCACCAAATCCTGCAAAGACATGGGAAGACTTTACCTATGAGGATGCCCACTGCTCTCCCAGGCTGCTCCAGTGGAGGAGGGGATGTTGGCTGAGGGACACTTGCAGTCCTTGAGCACAGTAAGGCAGGGCAAGGTGACTCAGCATAAGCCCACCAGAAGACCCAGTGGCTCTGAGTCCCAGATTGCAGTGCAGAGCACAGGCTAAAAAAAATGAAGTATAGGCAGGCAGGAAGTCAGGCAACTCACCAGGGAATCCAGCAAAAGCTCCTCCACCTGCTCCTGAACAGAGAAACAAATATGTGAGCTTCTCAGTCAGTCCAGTCAGGCCTGTGGTCGTTCAGGGGACCCAAACCAGTCCATGTGGGCCTGTGCAGGTCCATGTGTGCCTGCTCAAGGAGAATGTGTCTTCTCCAGTCCCAGCTCAGAACAAGGGAGGCTGAGGCAGAGTCCCATCACCTCTGCCCAGAGCAACATCAGCCTTCAGCCCTTGGCCCTAGGTACACACCAGGGAAGGGGAATATACCTGGGGCTTTTGGCTTGACTCCAGTCCCTGTTGGTACACCAGGCAGGACACCAACACCAGGATAACGGAGGCCTACAAAACAGAGCAGAAAGAGCCAGCTGAATGGGGCCAGAGATCCTTCAATGACAGCCACTACCCCTTCCAAGTTCCTGCAGCTATGTTCAAGCTGCATTGTGGAGCCAATGACAGACCCCCAGGCCCTGCTCTCTGCTCTGACTCATACATGGCACCTGGGAGGAAGCACCTGTCTGTGCCCTGCCCCAGTCTGTCTTGACTCCTGCTGTGTTGCACCTGGCAGGCTGGTAGGATGCCAGCTCTTCTGTTCTCTGGCTCAGACTCTGTCACGTCCTGTCTCTTCTGCAATCTTGTCCTCCTCCCACTTCCCACCCTCCTGTCTCATCCCATCCATCTCCTTCCCTCTGCTCTTCTCTGTGGTGCTGTATTCCACAAGCTTTCTCCTGCCCTAATGCTTGCGTACCTGATGTCAGGACTAACCACAAATGTTGATCTGCCTCTGGCCAGGCCTGTGCAAGGACAAATACCAAGGGCATGGACACTGTGGGTACAATCTGTTCTTCACTTAGAGCTAGCTACTGTCTAGCCCTGCCTTGTATGGCCTGGGGACTGCTCAATTTCTTAGGTGATGTGGATGGTTGGATTAGTCTGGCTTTCAGGGACAGGAGCCCACCTATCCCCAGAGATGCTGCTTGGTGACAGATTGAGTGGCATTGAGATGCTGTAGGAACCTGCTTCCTATTATGTTCCTATCATGTTGGGGCTGCTGCAGAGGTTAACTCCATGGGTGACATCTCTGCCATGGGCAGAGGGCTCTAGTCTGAATGGCCATGAGTTTACAGCTGCCCTGCATGCTCTGGGCTGACGCAGATCCTCAGGGTTCTGCTCCTGTGTGTATGGAATAAGTCCCCAGAGCACACCACACCACACCACACCACACCACACCACACCACACCACACCACAAACTGGCCCAGGGGCTTACCAGGGCCTTGGATGTTGGTGTTTTCCCCTCACATCCCCAAAGACATCAGACAATCACTTCATGGAAGTCAGAGCCCTTGCTTATTGAGATTCCCAGGGACATGTAGGCTGTGCCAGATCCTCCATGCCCTGGCATGCAACACCTACTTTTCTGCTGTTGAGATGACTCCAGCTGCCATTTCTAGCCCGTGTCTTTCCTAAGAGCCAGTGTACCTGCCCCTACCTCCTAAGTGGGTAGCAATGACCCTCTTATTGGCCTCCTCTCAGGACTCATAACTCCCTCAGAAGCCCGGTTTTCTAGGTTACAGACTGAACAGCTCACTGCTCCTGGAATGCTGGCTTCTGGTGCTACACAGGGCACTACTTTACTTTCCATGTCACCCCCTGCCAAAGATATGTTTCTTTGCTTTGTTCCTTTTTTGTTATACCTCCATGTCTGCTTTGTGGTTTAGTGCAGGGATGGCCAACCTACAGCACATGTACCACAAATGACACAGGAAGCCTGTGTGTGTGACACAGCAGATTGGAAGGTGACAGAGAGCACAGCGGCAGACCAGGCAGGGCAGGGAGTAGAAAGAGCAGCAGATCAGGCAGCAGAAGAGCATTGGAGCGGCACTTTGGGAGGATGTGGAACTAATTTTGTGATACTTTTTCCAAAAAGGTTGGCTCACACTGGTTTAGCAGATGGGCAGAAAAGAATTTTCTTGTCCCACAAAACATGCCAGGTTTTGAAAACATCCCTCCTTTCCAAACCAGGGTGCGATAATGATGTCTCAAACACATTTGTGAACTGATAAACCATCGTGCGGAAATGTTCTGTTTCATGTTTGGCCTTTTAATGTTTCCCACCTCCCTGTCATACACATTTGCTCATGATTCAAAAAAGCAAAGAAACAAAACCCATTTTTCATATTGATAATTTTAAATGATCTTGCTCAGATGATTCTAAATCCTGCTGCTCCCACAGATGATTTAGAAATGACAAGTTTGTCTGAACTAGCTATCCTCATTTAACCAAATGTCATGTCTGGCCACTCTGAAATTCAGTCTGAGAGGGACTTGCAGTGATCAACACAACATAGGCAGTAGTATAACTAGGGGTGGAAAAGCAGGGCACCAGCCCCAGGTGACAATTTGGATGCAGGGACTGCAAAAATGGCAGGCACTGATGGACTGGCCTGGCTGCCACTACCTAGGGAACAAACATTTCTTGTTATGGAAACTGGTTGGAGCTGGAGCTAGAGGCACCATGTGAGAGCCAGCACTGGGCTGCTTTACAGATAGGTTCTTGCACAGGCTGGATTAGCATGTTCACACAGTGTGCCAGCAACAGCCAGGCTGGCTGTGCACTAGCTGGGTAAGACACTGGACTGTCGGTCACACTGTGCTCACTGACTGGTCCATTGCACACAGGCTGCATGCCAACAGTGCCTTCATGCCATGAACCCTTCCACAGCTCACCTGTCCCTGGAAGCACGCCTCCTGGAAACACTCCAGGAATCCCAACACCTGGCAGACAAGAGAGAAGCAACAGTGAACATCTGTCCAGCCACCTTATCACACCTAGTTGATCTCCCACCCACACTGGTTCTTCCACCTACCTGGTACTTTGGGGGGTTTTACTCCAGCAGCTGCTCCTGGCTGAACCCCAGGCTGGGGCACTACAGCACCTGCATGGGCATGAGAGTGTCAGAGGCTCTGAAAACTGGATCAGCAGAAAGCACACAGACTTATAACCCTCCATGGGCACAGATCCTGGCGTGGAATCTAATATGCCCAGGACATTGTGATGTCTAGAAAAGGCAAGCTCAGGATCGGGGCACAGCCTGCCTGTGGAAACCCCAAGGCCACCAACACCACTGACTCCTCCAATGGTGCCAACTCCGCCCAAGCCAGCACCTAGTGACCCAAGTGGGAAGGGCAGGTACAAGGTGAGTACCCAGACTCACACCATAGTGGGCTTCTGGTTGGCTTGGCCCTGAAGCTACAGGGACTTGAAAACACAGGCACTTTCAATCACCTAGAGGTGAGGGCTCCAGCCATGGATATGAAGCCCAACCTGGATGGATCACATAGTACAGGGGTGAGACAGACTCTCAGTCTTTAGTATCGTAGGCTTCCCCACGCTGCCCTGGGATCCAGGCAGGCCTGTAGAGAGCTCCCCCATGGCACTGGGAGTGACAGACTGTCAGTGCCCAAAAGAGAGAGGCCCCCTGACCCTTGGAGTAGCAGGATCCCAGCTTATCTGGGGTGAGTTCTGTGCAACCTGCATTGCCCTAGCCAGGATATATCATTCAGCACAGCCGTCCCCAAAGTCCCCAGAATCCCCTGCATGCTTACTGCTGCCACATTAGCCCTGGCTCCCTCACCCCTACACTGGTCCAGCCCTTAGCCAATAGACCAGCACCTCTCACTTGCTGTATCACAGTGTCTAGGCACTAAGACCTGCCTCAAAGGGCAGGATCCATGAGGTTCATGCCAAGGGAGCACAGATGGCATGGCAGGGTTCTGGGAAGGGGAGCAGCCAGGAGGACTGTAGTGAGCCAAGGGCATCCCAGATTTAACAGGCCATGTATTTGGTAGTCCGCTCCCCGCTGGAGGCCTGAGCTTCTGGTCTAGTTTGGTTCCAGGTACTGGTGTCTTTGGTAAAGCCTATCCCAGTCCTTGTCAGGAGCCATTTTTCAGTTTGTGCAGCTGGTACATAGCTATGATGCAGGACCAAGGAAGGACAGCCAACTTCTGGGTGCTCTGGGCCATCTTAGCACCTAGAAACAAGCTCTGTGCACTCACCAGCTTTGGCAGCAGCTTTATAGGAAGCTGCCGACCCAGCACCTGGGTAGATACCCCCTGGGTACAAGCCCAGCTGAGCTACACCACCTGCCACAGAAAAGGAGAGTGAACCTGACTTCCCCAGAGCCCAAAACCTGCCTTGTGGTTGGCACCATTGGAGAATCAGGCTCCGTGGGAGAGTTCACTCTTGCCCTGTACCCCCAGACACCTAAGTCAGTGCCCCCAGCTCTGCACTCTCCTGGCAAGTGTCTGCAGCATGCTGGAGGCAGAGATGGAGCAGGAGGTGGCAGGAGAGAATTCCCACTGTTGTAAGACCTGTGGTAGGCATGGGGTGTGGCAGGGGTAGATGTGGAGAGCTGTGGAGTGCCCAGATATCACCCAGGGGGGGTCCAGAAGGGGCTATTCACATGGAAAGCCCCTTCCAAATAAAAGTACCAAGATGACTAGGAAAACCCAGCTGTCTGCTGCTCACAAAGGGAATCTAGGGTCCTATAGCCCCTCCCCACTGCCTGCCCTCTGCTTCTCATCTGTGGGAATGGCACTGTGCCCAGCACAATGGATCCCTGATCCTAGCCAGGGGATACCACTACTCTGCTGGTAAATCCCTGTGATTCAGGGCTGGGAACAACCTTTTGTCTGGAAGCCTGCAACCTGAGAAAGAAGCTGGCCACTGAGGAAAGGAAGAGAAAAGGATAAGATTAGCAGGGCTACCTGGGAGTGTGGGTTCCCAGTCCTAGCCCAACCCCCTTTGACAGCTCAGCCTCTGTCTTTTTATGGCTTGGGCAAGGGGCACTTGAGGAAAGAAGAATCAGGGGTCTAGGCCAGGCCCTGTGAGCACAAGAGCAGTGCTCAGTGTCCCCAAGGACCCTGGACTATCTGTGTACTCACCGGGTTGCAGACCAAGTGCCCCAAATCCCCCAAGGCCTCCAACTCCTGGAAAGAGAAATTAAATGAGAAGGGAAGACATGAGCAGGCATGTGTGCCAAGGAGAAAGGCTGCCTGGCCTAGTCTGTGGGGTAGGGAGGGACAGGGGGTGTGAAGCTCTGCTCAGTGTGTTCAGCCAGCTCTGAGCAAACACAACAGCAGTTTTGAGCACTGCTATCTGGGGCATGTCCAGTCGCCAACACTGGAAACATGAAGAGGACTGGGAAGGATGCTGTTTTATTGCTCCCCCATCTCCTCTCCCAGCCTGAGTCCTGAAGGGCCTGGCTCCCTGTATAAGGCCAGGGAGGCCCCGGCTTTTCAGCCTGCACTCTGCACCCTTCCTGGACCCCATGTTCCTCTGTGGTGTGAACCCTCTTACAGCTTCCAGGGACTGATACCATGGTGACTGCAGGAGCCTCTTGGGCTCTGTGGAGTCTCCTTGCTGTCCCCCTGCTAGTCAGGGATAGGAAAAGCAAAGAGCCAGCTCACACGACTTCCCCAGAGCTGCCATCTTCTCAAAGAGACTTGCAGCCTCAATTTGCAACAAAAATAACCTTAGCTGTGTGAGGTTGTGCACCAAGAGTCTGAACCATAAGCTCTGAGGGGGCAAAGTACTTTTTTTCCCTTTCTAGTGGTGCTTGTCCTTTGAGCAAGAGGATGGGAAGCTCAGTGGCAATGCTGTTGGCTGCTCACAGCACACAAGGGAGGAGGGTCGCCTTACAGTAGGGCTCTGCTGCTGTCAAAGCCTTTTTTTGTTGGCCACTCTAGTGGATGGAGCATGGGAAGGATCAAATCCCAGACTGCTGGGGCCAGGACAAGGCCAACCCAGGCCCATGCTGGGGGTGACTGGTCTGGCCTGCTCCCTTTGCCCCACGGCCTCTGTGCTCCCCCAGGTACTGCCTGGCCCACCCCCTTCCCTGCCCCTCTCTAAGCTCTGTCCTAACTCCTCCCAGCAAGATCAGTGATGGGATTGAATTTGAAATGTTTATGACTGTGGAACAAGTCCCTCTGGCTGGGGAAGACGCAGCCTTCCAACATCTGGGCCTAATCATCTGCTTGCTCCCTCCAGGCACAAATTCCACTGCCCTTGGCTCATGCACGCTAACAACGCTTAGGCTGGGACTTCACAGCTACACAGCGTTTGTTTTTAATTATGCAGAAATAAAGGGCTTGTTTTTCTTTCCACAAACTGAAATCTGAGTAAATGGGGCTTCCAGGGAGCCTCCTTGTGCTGGCCTGCCTGCCGGGAGGCAAATGGACAGGCCCCAGGGCCAATCATGCCACTGGCTGCCTGTGCTTTGGGGATGCTGGAGTCAGGCAGGCCAGGGGGATCACACAGAAGGGTTTGGGCTGCTCAGCAAGGGGCTGGAAGGTCAGGTTTGGAGCCGAGTCTACTTCTGGCCCAGTCCAGTTGTCCTGACCTAGCCTTTCTGCTTGAGCCCTAACTTCCTGTGACCCCTGCCCCATCTCCCAATACCAAGATGGCTGAGGGCCTCCCCATTCTCTCCATGATTGATATTCTGTAGCAGTGACAATGGAATGGCCCCAAGCCCTGTAAGACTCAATTCCCTTGGGCCAGGAGGATCATGGTGGGGCAGGATCAAAGACACTGTGCAACCCATGGCAGGGAGAACCTGATAGGAGCAGTACCTAGCCCAACCCAGCCAATATAGGAAAGGCACGGTGGCAGCCCTCCTGCTGCATCCAAAGGGTTCCTCACCAGTTCCTCACCAGTTTGCCCTGAGTGGGGATGGGCAGTCCCTGATGCCCAGGGCACAATATCTCAAGCACCAGTTTTGAAATGCAGCAGCCCATTTGGGCTCCGGGGCCAAGCATTAGTCATGTGAGGCACTCACTAGATGATCCCCAGCACCAAGTAGAAACGGCTTTGCTACCCCTAGGGTAGGCAAAGCCAGGAAGAGCTATCTAATGGACCTGGGCAGAAGAGGCTGAATTCCTTGCAGGTTCCTTTCCCCACAGTTCCTGGGGAGCTCACTGCCGAGCAGTGCTGAGCATCCTCAGGTGGGAGGCCCATGCCTCACTGTAAATGGAGCCTTTGAACAGCAGGTGCCTCATGCTTTCATGCATGGCTCAGCCTTAGCAGCATGGTTCCAAGCAAAGGCATGAGGTTGCGTGGTTTGCTGGAAGTGAACTCCCTGACAGACCTTTTGCCAGCTTTGCAAGGGCACAGTTGCTTGGCAGCAGCTGGCTCCGGCATAGCCCTAAAACTGCTGCAGTTTTACATCTTTACATCTTTCCAGATACAGGCAGCCTTGGTGCCCTGGAGTTCCATCCTCCATGGCCCCAGGATGCATCCAAGATAAGTGATTTGCAGACCAGCATACAGATGTCTGAGGGGGTCTCAGGAGCCTTGCCCAGCTCCCTGCTCTTCCCAGCCTCCCTGTATGTATCCAGATACCAAGGGAGTGCAAAGTTCTGACTCCCTTTCCATGCCCCAGTAATCAGCATTTAACTACAGGCTAAGTGAAGCCTAATGAACATGTGCTAATCCTTTATTCAGGCCTCCCTGGCAACAGGAGTTGCTGCTTGGAGCCAGTGCCCTGCGGTTTCCAGTCCCTGAAGGATCATCCAGCCATGACCACCCAGGGTCAGGAGTCCTGTTTTGAATGGGAGGGAACAAATAATCACAGGCTGGCAGCTCCACTATGGGTTGGGAAACAGGTTGTCTGCTCTGCCCACAATGTTAAGGCAGTCCCCTGAATGCTCAGTCTTTCCCTCATCCCTAAGTTATCTGAGAGAATCAAGGATTATCAGCAGCAGCTGATAGTAGCCTCCATGCCCTTGCTATCGCAGACCTCCCAGAACCAGCAAGAGAGATGGGATGAGGAAACAACTCTTACCTGGCTTGGGAGGTTTTCCTCCAGCACCAAGCCCTGAAAAAAAAGCAACACCCCAAACCATTAGGCAAATGTGAGGAGGGACAGAAGTGGGAGTACATGGGGAATTGTGTCACAGCAGGTGGCTGGCCTGGCAGAGAGGAGAAGAGTCAGATGCCAGATCACATGTGCAGGGACCCACAGCCCTTGGGAGCCTTGGCATCACCTCCTTTGGCCTGTGAGCTGCAAGCTGTAGCCAGTTGCAGCTCACAGGCCAAACAGGTCATAGGGATCACTTCATCTGAACCCCATGTATAGACTGCCCTGAAGTCACTCCTATTTGGAGTAGTGTAGAAGTGATGGTGTAGTCATGATGGTCCAGAAATTATGTGAGACCAGCAGTGACCTGAAAAAGAATGACTTGCATTCAAAAGCTTGTGTAGCCAATCCTAACTAGACAGGTGGTCCAATAAAAGATACCACCCTAAGAAATGCTTGCTCCTGTTTGAACTAAGGGAAAAACATCTCACCCTGACTCTATGGCACATGCTGTGTTAAAAACCATTAAAAACATACACCTTATTTCTTCTCTGAAATTGCCGGGCCTCTTTCTGTCTTGTCTGCTAGACTGAAGAGGCCTCTCCCCTAGCAGAAGCCAAGCCATGTGCCAGCACCCTGACCAGATAAGAGACCCCACACCTGGGAAGACACCTCTGTTTCAAAGTGCTCTGTACACAGGAAAGGCTTTTCCCTCCTTGGGGAGACAGCAGGTACATCCATGCCCAAGTGAGGTGCCTGTTCATCTTTCCTACCAGTGAGGCCAATCATCAGGCATGGGGTATGGGTTCTCCTTTTGCCTCAGAGCAGCCATGCATGAAGGAATGGTTTGGATACTCACCTGCACCCCCAAGGCCTACTCCAGCTCCTATTCCACCTGCTCCCAGGCCTCCTACTCCAGCAGCTCCTGAAAAGACCAGCACATCCTTATTGCCCTACCAACACCAGAATTGCTAGGATCCTTGCCCCAGAGTGATCGGTACCTGGGTATCTTTTTAGGAGTGAAAACAGACCCTCTATTCATGGGTCTGGTACCTACATTCCCAAACCAAAGGCCCAGGAAAGGAGGTGGGAGGGGTGGGGGCTTGGATAGCCCACCCACTGCCAGCCTGAAGTCCTCCCTCTGAGTGGTCTCCATGCCTGCTCCCATGGGCTGCCCCAAGTGAGATTGCTCTGCTTGGGGAATGGGTAGAGAAAGGTCAGCATCACACTGAAGCTCCAGCCTCCTCAGCCCAGCTTCCTCCAAGCCAGGATGGCGGAAGAGGAGGCCAGGATAAAAGGCTGTTGCTGAGGCCATCCAGCCAGACAGCACCCTCCCATGTTGCTCCCTGGCAGAGAAAGGCACTGACCTCCAGCAGGACCACAGTGGCTCCAGATGCCCAACTAAAAATAAGACAAACCACAGCAGAGCCTATGGCTTACTAACCTGCAGGACTCCCTGACCCCAGGCTTCTGAGTTCAGGGCCAATAGACCCAGGTGCAGAGACTGAGACTACAAACTAGGCAGCATGACAAAGGGAACTCTGTAAAAAAGGGGCGCACTAAAGGGTTAATTTCCCAGGCTGCCACTGTAGGGAAAAACTGAAAAGACACCTGCCTTTTATTGTACACCTGTAACTGAATTCTGTGTCTGCCAAGGCTGATGACGGGGCACCCTGAGCTCCAGGACTCCCTAGAGGCATCCTGGAGATACAGAATATCCTCATGGCAGTGTGGAACACTGTCAAGGATGCCACACAGCTGTGGTGAGACTGTGGGATGGGGCAGTCTGCCTGTCCTGGGGGATAGACTCTGGCTATGATTTGATCCAGGTGACAGACCGAGGCCACAGAATGACCTCAGTGATGATGGGCTACAGCATGACACAGGTGATGGGGACAGGGAGAAAATAGCCCTACCACCTAGACTACTGTCAAATCTATAATGTAAACTGTACATAAGACTACCATCAAAGGAGAACCAGTTAGATATCTGAAATATGTATATACTAAAGCAAGAAGCATGGGGAATGAACAGGAAGAATTTGTGGTCCTAGTACAATGATGGTACTACAAGGAATGATGATGTAACTACAATGAGGAATGATGATGTAACTGGGATTACAGAGGTGTGGTGGGATAGTTCATATGACCTGAGTATGGTCACAGATGGGTGTAATCTGTTCAGGAAGGATAGGCAGGGGGCAAAGAAGGAAGTGCTGCCGTATATATAAAGGTGATGTACACATGTTTGGAGGGGCAGTACAAAATGGAAGATAGGCCTGCTAAAAGCCTGTGAGTAAAGGTCAGAGGGGTGAGCAGCAGAAGAGATGATATGGTGGGCATCCACTATATGCCACCAAACAGGTAGGAAGAGGTGGATGAGGCCTTCTTAAACAAATGACGGAGGCTTCTAAATCATAGGACCTGGTGCTCATGGTGGGCTTTAATTTTCAGGACAACTGCTGGGAGGGAAATACAGCAGTGCACAAGCAGTCCAGCAGATTCATGGAGTATATCAAGGATAACTTCTTGATACAGATGGTAGAGAGGCCAACTAGGGGGGAAGCTCTTCTTGACTTACTGCTCACAAACGGAGAAAATGGTTGAGAATGTGAAGGTGGAAGGTAACTCAGATGATGAAATGATCAGAGTTCAAGATCTTAAGAGAAAGAAGGAAGGAGAGCAAAAAAAAAAAAAGACATTTCAGAAAAGCAGACTTTAGCAAACTCAGGGAACTGGTGGGAAGGATCCCCTGGGGGGCAAGTCTGAGGGGAAAAGGAATCCCAGGAGAGCTGGCTATACTTTAGGAAAGCCTTCTTAAGGGCACAAAAGCAAGCTGTCCCAGTACAACAGGCAAATAGGAAGTGCAACAGGACACCTGCCTGGCTTGACAGCAATTTCTTCAGGGAACTGAAAGTCAAAAAGGAGTCCTACAAAAAGTAGAACCTTGGTCATAGTACTAGGGAAGGGTATAAGAGTATTGTATGGGCATACAGAGAGAAATTTAGGAATGCCAAGGCACAATTAAAGAAGCAGCTGGCAAGAGACATAATAGGCAGTAAAAAGGGATTCTACATTACGTGTAAGAGGAAGACCAAAGAAACTATAGATCCCTTATGGAATGCAGAAGGGAATCTAGTTATGGATGATGCAGAGAACACTAAAGTATTTAATGCATTATAAAAGGGGGCAGCTACAGATAACAAGCATAGTTGGCAGCAAAGACAGGGAAGGAGACTCACAGCCTAAAGTAATGGCAGAACGGGTAAGGGATGACTTAGAGAAGCTAGAGTTTTTCAAGTTGGCAGGGCTGGATGGGATGCACCCTAGCATATTGAAGGAACTGGCTGAGGTAATTTCAAAGCCATTAGCTATCCTCTTTGAGAACTTGTGGTGGTTGGGTGAGATACTACATGATTGTAAAAATAATGTAAGGTGGATACATAACTGGTGGGATCATCATGCTTAATGAGTAGTCATCAATGGCAAAATGTCTAGTGGGAGGAGATATCAAGTGGGGTTCCGCAGAGATCAGTTCTGAGTTCAGTATTGTTTAATATCTTCTTTATTGATTTGGATCAAGTGTACACTTAGTAGATATGGGGAGGACACCAAGTTGGGTAGAGTTGCAGATACTCTGGGGGGGTAGGGAAAGGATCCAGAATGACTTGACTAGACTGGAGAAATGGTCCACAATCAATCAGGTAAGATTCAAGAAGGACAAGTACAAAGTCCTGGACTTGAGATGGAACAATTGCATGCACAAATACAGACTGGGGAATGGTTGTATGCATTACTGCAGAGAAGGACCTGAAGGTTACAGTAGATTAAGCGGAATATCAGCCAAAAGTGTGTTCTTGTTGCAAAAAACCCTTCCAAAACAAAAACAACAGCATCCTGGGTTGTATTAACAGGAGCATCACTTGCAAATCAAGAAGTGATACTTCCATTCTATTCAATATTGGCCTCCAGGTGTACTGTGTCCTGTTTTGGGCTTCACATTGCAAGAAGATTGTGGACACATTGGAGATAGTCTGGCACAGAGGAATACAAATAATTTGGGGTCTGGGAAGCAGAACTTATGAGGAAAGGATGAAAGAACTAGGACTGTTTAGTCTGGAGAAGAGAAAACCAAGTGAGGATTTGATAGCAGTCTTCAGATATCTGAAGGGCAATTACAGACAGGATGGATATGGGATTTTTTCTGGCTACCAGGGACAGGACTAGGAGCAATGGCTTCAAGATGTAGCAGAGGAAATTTAGGTTGAAAATTACAAGGAGCTTTTTTACTATGAGGGTGGTTAAGCATTGGAACAGGCTGCTTAGAGAAGCTGTGGAAATTTTCAAAAACAGCTTGGACAGACACTTGGCTGGGAAAGTTTAGTCAGGGATGATCCTACCTAGAGCAGGGAACTGGACTAGATGACTTCATGAGGTCCCTTCCAGACCTTCTTTCCTACAATCCTATGATCTTATGGCAGGCTGTGGTGAGAGCCAGGTGAAGAAGACAGGTTACAGCATGACATGCACTGCTAACAGGCTTAAAACATAAGGCAGGGGATGAGGACTGGCTACAGTTTGACTCATAAGATTAGCATCTAGCTATGGCCCTACCCATGTGCCTGGCATCAGATTATGGTGCAACTCAGGTGACAGGACTTGACCTGTGTGACAGGCATCTTTCCTATTGTGTCACCTGTTGCTGTCCTGTCACCTCAGCCCCAGGGTGGGACTGTCCCATCAGACAAGTGTTTGGAGGCAGCCAAAGTACAATGGACAGGCTGGAGCCCTGCAAAAGGCTGCTCTGAAGGATCCCAAGGTGACAGCATGAGTGCCAAGGGGAGATATCCCCACAGTCCCGTCTTTCCATTGGACCTTCCTCTACCAGTCTCTGTGGAGCAATCAGCCCAGGCTCACATGGTGAGTGAGGCTTAGAGAAGAATGGGAGGGTCTCCTGACTCTTGGCTTGGGCCTGGCTCAGTTTAGCAGCTCTGGCTCTCCACGGAGTTGCCCCTTCTGTGTTGGAGGTAAGCAGAGCCCATTACAGGTGCAGAGGTGCTGGCTTGAATGTTAACTACACAGGGGCAGGGATGCACAGGCTTGTTCCCCTTACTGGTTTTGCAAGGCTCAAAGCAGGGGGCAGCACCTCCCTGCCCACCCACACTCAGACTTAGCCTCCCAGTGCTGCTCACTTGGCACTTGCCTGCCTTCAGGGATCCTCCCTAGTTACATGCCATTCCCTCCCCTTCCAGTCATGTATGCACCCCTCCTCCTAACTTGTCCTGTCCTTTTCCTGAGAGAAGATATTCTCCTTCCCTCCTGTGTCCCATTTGGGTGAGTCTTGTGCTTACCTGGGTAATATCCTCCTCCTAGAAGTCCCCCTCCAGGGATACCACCAGGGACCCCTGCAAAAGAAAAGGCCTGGTCATACACAGAGCTAGCCTGAGAGACAACTGCTGGGTCCAGATGCGCCCAGCCCGCATGGCACTTGGCTCAAAGGCAGCATAGAAACATCTTTGAGACTTATTGGGATGGAGGAGCTGCCCCAAGTGCATTCTCAAACAGCAGCACCATGATCCTTCACTCAGGTGTGCAATTCTGGGCCAATCCATGCCTTGACTGTGCCTTGGTTTCCTCACGTTACCATGAGCTTAATGACAGGGACCTGCCCTGTATAAGTGCTCTGAGAGCAGGGTGGAGGCACTGGGATTGTGGGTTGGTGCTCAAAGATACACTGGCGCTTTTGCCAAGAGCCCAGGCAAGGAGGCCAGCCTGTCCTCTGAGTGAGGAGAAGGGCAATCTGTCTGTGGCAGAGCCAGGCAGGGGCAGTAAGCCCAAGACTGCTTCTCCTCTGGTACAAGCAACTGGCCTGTCCCCAGCTCCCTTCAGCATGGGGGGATAGGAGGTCCAGTGCCAGTCTGGGGCTGAGACCCTTGTCCTGTGCCCTGGTCTCTGGGCACAGTGTGGAGGGAAGAACTTGCCTCTGTGGCTTCAGCTATCCCCTGTAACACCCTGCACAGCCGTGCTCAGCAGCAGCCCCAGCACAAGGCAGGGGAGAAGCTGTTTGTGCCACTTGGAGACAGATGAGGGCTGTGCTGGGCCAGCTGCCTCTTTCTGGGAAGCCAGCACATTTCACAACAGCTTTCAGCCTGAGGCAGAGCCCAAGGTGTGGGGGAGGGTGCTGAGTGGGACTGAAGAGAGTGATGAGAGATGAAATAAGAGACCAGGCAGAATCCTCCATTCCCACTAGCATCTCACCCCACCAGGAGCCAGCTCCACTGCACCCCACCAGGAGTCAGCTTTCCACTGCTCTGTTTCTACCTAGAGGGAGCAGCCATCAGCATAAGGGGAAAACTGCATCACTGCTATGAGAACTTCACATTTATGGACTGCAAACTGCCTCCACTGAGTCAGGGGCTCCTGCTGACAAACTCCGGCCTGTGGATTCAGTGCTGGGGGAGGCTATGGATTCCCAGTTCTGTAAAGCCATCCATCTGTCTACAGGGCTGCGGCAGGGCTACACACATGCACGCGTGTGTGCACGCGTGCACGCGTGCGCGCGCGCACACACACACACACACTGCCTTCTGGCATGTGTTACCTTGACTGGGGCAGAAGACTTATTTTAGGGCAGAGGTGTCACAGGATGCATCTACACGTGAGGCTATGCCGCTGTAGTGACGTGCTACCGCGATGTCCCAGTTAATCTTAATCTGTCCCAGTCCACAGGAGTCTACACATGACCAGCCGCTACTTTGCCATAGTGGTGTGCTGCCACAGTGAAGCAGCAGCTAAAAATAACCATGTGCTGCATATACAGCACAGTACAGGTGATTAGCGCGCCATGCTTTAGTCGTTCCAAAAGGAAGTACTAAAGCACGGTGCAGTAACAACATCACCATAGGGCAATGTGTAGACACACCCACAATTGCTTTGTGCCCCAGGCCAGATCTGGACTGCAGGGCTGCTTGTGGACCCCAGCTGGCCTGGAGCATATGGCAGCAGCAGTTCCAGCTGCAACCTGGAGCATGCAGTAGTGGTGGCAGCAGCTCCAGCTCTGGCACAGGCCACACAGAGCAGCTCCAGGTCCTGCCACATGCTGTGTGCTGGATCTGAAGTTGCTGTCATTGCTACATGCTTTGTACCATAGCAGCTGCTCTAGCCCTGGGACAAGGAACAGGGCACAGGGCATAGGGCATGCGGCAGCCACAATGGGACCAACAGCTGAGCTGAGGCCTCAGCAGTGGCAATAGGTAGAGTGGCTGGAAGGCAACTGGGGCTGTGTCAGTCTTCACTCACCCTCTTATTACCAACTGCCGTGTCCACCAGGGAAAGGGCCCCAGATTCTGTGGCAGGCCACTTTACCCCAGGAACCCCCAACTTCTAGGAGCCAACCAGTAGCCCAGGATTGACACCCCTGTTTTAGGGGGAACAGGGGTAGTCTCCAGGGTCCAGGCCCTCTGCTAAGTCTGCCAGAGGGTCAGTGTAGGAAATGGTCCTGAGAACCACCAAACTCATCTGATATATGGGCCACCAAGCATCCCAACCAGATGGGAATTGCTTTTTATCCCTGCTAAGTTGAGCTCATCTTTGTGTGAAGCTGTAGAAGTGAAAGGTTCTCTACTCAATCCAGAATCTCCTGAGACAGTCAGTCTCCTAACCAGGGTGAATGTCAGAGGGAGTCCCACAAATAAAGAGCTATTACAGACCAAGTCATGGCCTTAAAGAGAGCACTGAGCCATCTGCTGTAAAGCCAAGCACTCTAAAGGTTGGTATGCCTGTTCTGTGGATCTGGGTGCAGTTTGCACCTCTCAACCATGTGCAGTTTAATGCAATCTTCAAGGGCATCATCACTTTTTTTTCATGTCTGACTCCTCAGATAGACTTTCTGTTGCATGTGGGGGTTTTTTCCCCCCTCAGGGGAGAAGGCTGTATGGGACTGTACATGGGCTTTCTGTATGTCCAAGATGGGCTGTCTTATTTATATTAGCATAGGCTGCCCAACCTGTGCCACTTGACCTTAAAGCAGCTGTCAGGTGTGCAGTGGCTTTTCAACCCTGTGGGAATTTGTTCTACCTCTGGGGCTGACATTCAGAAAGGGCCTTGTCCAGACTCATTGCTGTGTTGTGCTGAGGGGATGGGATCCTGGGCTGCCATGTTAGAAGCAGAGTTCTGCCCCAGATCTGCTTGGAGTCACCTTGAGCAACTGTTTGGCTGAACAAGTCATAAGGGCCTCCTTTTTGCCTCTGGCTACAGTAGAGTTGGGTTTGGTCAGTATAAGGGGCTTTGAGTGTATTGACATACTAGAAGCATAGGTGGATTAATGCATGGGCCAACTGGGTCTGGACCTAGGGGCCCCTGCCTCCGCACGGACGAAACCAGTGGCTGGGCTGGGCTGAGCATGTGCAACGTGGCAGGCCATAGCTTCTGGGTGCCGTTTGCTGGTTGCCACTGCAGCCAGATTGAGCTGCAGCAGCATGAAGGACCACCCCTAGAGCTCAATCCACACTGCACAGCTCTGAACTCCGGTGCTGCCTCCAGTGCAGACCTGAGGGCAGGGACAGCTGCATCTCCTGTCCCAGGCCTTGGGGGAAGTGAGTCCTATTTTTGCTGCTGCGTTGGCCAGGGACAGAACCTGCAGATGAGGGCCCCAGTTAATCTTAATCTGCCCCAGACCAGAAGGAGCAGCTAGCAGAGCAACTGGTGCCCTGCCTTTCAATCCCACACTGCTTTGCCTAGGCCTGTGCTATGAGGAGGTTTCACTCTCAATAGAGAGGGGTGATAGCCTGCATCCCTACACCTAAATCTCTCTTACCCATGGTTGGGCACTCTGTGTCAGTCCCTTCTGAGATGGATGCAGCCAGGCCTGCACATACAATTGACCCCAGCTCAGCATAGCTTCTTGTGGGCAAAGCCCAAGGCTTCTGGGTCTGGGGACAGCTGAAGTAGTGTCAAGTGCTTAGGCTGCTGGACTCAAGGGGCATTTTTACACATGCTGTGACACGAGGTGATTTAATTAGCGAGTTGCACTAATTAAAAAGTGCCCACATGTCACATATAGCAATGTCCCCATGTGTCCCATGCTGAAAAACTAGCAGCAGGGTGCTTTGAACTAAAGCTCATCGAACATGTCTCATTTCAAAGCGCCCTGCCACCATTTTTTCAGCATGGAGATGGGCTGGAACACTGATACACATGACACAGAAGGCTGCCCGAGCGCATCAATTCCTGTGCTCCAACAGACTCCAGTAGACTTCATTAATCAGCACATCAGAACAGGCTCCCTGCATGTGCATAGGCCGATTTGTTCACCTTCAGTCCCCGCACGTGTATAGGAGCCTAAGGGGCTTAGCTCACGTTTGCCCTAATAAATATGGCCAGCAGGTGGTGCTGAGGCATTGAAAGCTGGGAACTAAGTGGAGGGATCTGGCTCTAGTTGGTCACCAGCTTTATAAGTTCTTTCCTTCCCAGATTTGTCACTGGGTGTGTCTACTTGTGCAATTACAGTGCCTGAATAAACTGCAGAGCTTATTGCTCCAGAGTTAATTGCTCCAGGCTGCAGGTTGAACATGTGCCTGGGGACAATTAACTCCGGAGCAATAAGCTTCACAGTTATTCAGGTGCAGCACATGGAGTCCAGGCGCAGCAGCCCCAACTGGCAGGGGACCCCAGGGGGTCAGCCTGCCAGCCCGGGGCTGTTCACCCCGGCTCAGTGTTCTGTGGAGGGGCTGGCTGGGGCATGAGGGAGGCTTCAGCAAAGGGTTAGCTGGCAGGCAGCCCCTGTGCTGAAGCACCCCTGTGCCCCAGTCAGCTGGGTAGCATCTGTATATGCGCTGCTACAGAATAAATTTGTTTACTCCAGTCTAATAGGGGCACACATATAGATGTAGACACTGAGATGTTTACTGCGCTGCTAATTAGTCAACTACACAGTAAACAACTGGTACAGACGTGCCCATTGAAACCCAGTCTGCTCCCCTCCATGGCCCCCTACTCATCCCTGTTCCCACCCCATCCAGTCAGCACCTGCTTGTCTGTAGTATTCATTCCTCACATCGGGGGAAAGGAAACACATTGCTGTGTGCCCCATAGACCCAGACCCCAGTCACACAGAAGTGGCAAGGGTTTTCACATTCAGACATGCACTGGAAACTAGTTCCCAGTGTCACACTCTTGCCCACAGCCACATACGTTCTAGTATTTCAGTTCCCAGTGTCACAGTCTTGCCCATGACCGTAGTGCCCAGGGTCACACCCTCATCTCAGCCACTGTACGTGCTAATGGCAGATTCACACATCCTGCCCCACTCAGGGCACAAGTGCCAGGGCTGCCACTCCCAGGGATCCTGGATCCATGGATGCCAGAGAAAAAGGCTGGGATTCATAAATTATAATCTCCCTCTCTA